TTTACAAAACTTTAACATGGTGAGAAGCAAAGGATAACTGAAAAACAGTCTTGTGTTACAAAGTCTTAGCATCTGCTGAAGCATTAAACATAAACAACACTAAACTTCTATTGGAACTCTAAAAACGGGATTTACTGCATAATGAAATGGGAAACAATTGACCTTTTATTGTGAATCACCCATAAGCCTTTCATGAAATCGAGAATAACTCAGGCAGATTTGTTAATGAATTCTTGTTCACACTACTACCAGCTAGCCTCTGTAATAGTTCTATTTTCAAATTGCAGCCCCACAAGGGGATCGGATGAATTTCAGGAGAATATGGCTTTTTTAATGTCTACTAATCATGACAGTTAAATTTTACTTCCAGTATTGCAGGAAGTAATTTTCCACAATACTGGAACAACCGACTGGTTCAAGATTGGGAAAGGAGTATGTCAAGGCTGTATACTCTCACTCGACCTATTCAACTTGTATGCAGAACACATCATGCGATGTGCGGGGCTTGACGAATCCAAGGCTGGAATTAAAATTGCTGGAAGAAACATTAACAATCTTAGATATGCAGATGATACCACTTTGATGGCCAAAAGCGAGCTAAGGAGCCTTCTAACCAAGGTGAAAGAAGAAAGTGCAAAAGCTGGGTTCCAGTTAAACATTTAAAAAACCAAGAAATCAGAAGACATTTACTTCTTGAGAGGAGAGCAATGACCAATCTCGATAAAATAGTAATGAGTAGAGACATCACACTGGCAATGAAGATCCGCATAGTTAAAGCAATGGTATTCCCTGTAGTAACCTAAGCTCTTCTTGTGTCCTTATGCAAAGTTTAAAAGTGTATGCTGAGATGTATTCTACTTACCAACACACCTCTAATAGCTGCATGCTTCCATTCTTAATGTCCAGTGTATGCCTACCTTACTAAAACTGTCTAAAAATATAGCTGTATTCTCATTGGTGGGCATTGTTTTGGTAACATATGCAAGTATTGGTTCACTTTATGCTTGCATACATCTTGTTTTGGTCATTGCAGAGGTAGGTTTTCTCTCCTACAATCATCAAAGCCGCCCCAGGACTCATGGTTTTATGGCAATAGTTCTGCAGAGGGGTTGTAAAACTGTCTGGTTATGTCCCATAGTCAGAATCAGATTTATGACATCATCCAACCAAAATGCTGGTGGATCTCAGCGGCATTTGTCAGTGGTATGTTTCTGACTGTAGAGAATAGGCAGATGTTTCTCCACACACCCTGCCCTCTACCAAACACACAATGATTACATAGAGGGACTACTGCAACAAAATTGTGAGACCTGGAGATGGTGAGTGGAGACCTGTACTGGAGTTCTACCTGTGAAATTCTTATGTTGTGCTGGCAGTGTGGGTTCTTGGACTTTGGTTGCTGTGGTTCATCTTCTGCAAAATTTCTGTGAGGTGTATTTCTGGAGAATCTCAACGCTTCAAACAGAACACCTTTTCTCCCAAATTAATCTGACTAGTTTGCTCTCAAGAAGCCTGAACAGCTGCCAATTTGTCAAAGTTTTGATGTTCTCAGTCTTTTTAGTATGTGTGCCAGTGACTACTGAAAGGAGTGGGAAAATGAGAAAAGAGAAGAGTGATAATGGAATGGAGTGCCATTTTATACTGCAACATTTTGTTGCAAGTCCTGGAAACATGCATTGTTTTTGATGTGGGTATCAGTATCAGAACTTAGAAATTTACTTTAAAAGGTGATCAATTTCTCTTACTTATTACCATTTTTACATATCAGGAGCAACTTAAGAAACTGCAGGTCAAGAGAATTGGCTGTCTGCAAGGATGTTGCCCAAGGGATGCCTGGATGTTTTAATGTTTTACCATCCTTGTGGTGGCTTCTCTCATGCCCATGCATGGGGAGCTGGAGCTGACAGAGGGAGCTCATCCACGCTCTCCCCGGACTCGAACCTCCGACCTGTCGGTCTTCAGTCCTGCTGGCACTAGAGTTTAACCCATTGCACCACCAGGGGCTCCTTACTTATTATCATTGGAGAAACAAATTGCTTTTTTAAACACTGTAAGAAATAATAACAATTGATTGTCCACTTATTACCATTAGAGAAACAATCAATTGTTATTATTTCTTACAGTGTTGAAAAAAAGCAATTTGTTAACTTATTGCATTGCTTGTTCCTTTTTAATGAGGTTTTCATACAACAATGGTATGAAACTTGAAAAATTCATATCAAAATGCCTTTACAAATACCTTTAAAAGTAATTGAAAGCAACTTAGAGGCCATTAATGTGCTACATTAATGAAGTAACTTTCACCAATTTAATCTGGGGCTTTTGAAACGTACCTTGTTACATCATTATGCCAAAGTAACTATGTACATGTATTTATGTTTACATGGAACACATTCCTTCCATTCCCTTGTATGTATGATCCCACGTCACATGAACTAGTTCTAAGACTTCAGAGACTGAAAAGGGTGTGTTTTCATCCACAGAACTATGAGTTATCTTGCACATCTGTTTCAGCACCCAGAAGAGCTCCCATTCCTCTTTAGTTTCACCTTTCAAGACCATGTTATAATAGAACAATGATTCCCATCCTGTGGTCCATGGACAAAAATATTGTCCGTGACCTTACCATTACTACACCGTTGCCTCAAAATCATCTGGCAACGAGAGCGACTGGTCTCGCGAAACCCTCTTATAAAGCCAAGGCAACGGGGATGTCAAGAGGGGAGAGGCTGACTACCTACAAAAGATTACTATTGCCACATCAGCTCTAATTATTAAATATGGTTTTCTGTGGGCAAGCAGATGGCGACTACTGGATGGCATATATTCTGTATCAGAAACTAGAGCTGATGTGGTCTATCCAATGTAGTTTAAAGTTGACCAAAAACTGATTTATAACCCTTTTGGTACTAATGTTGGGGTGTGGTTCCTGGTCAAAATGGTCCCTGGTTAAATTGGTCCCTGGTCAAGTGGCCCATGGAAACCACTGTAATAGAGTAGGGTACCTTGCTAAATCAGGCCAAAGATCCGCCACACTCAGCATTCTTGTTTCTAGAGGGATCAAACTGGTGCCCACAGGAAATTAACCTGAGTATAATAGTGAGGGCTATTCCTCCTCCTTTGCCCTAAGCACCTGGTGTTCAGTGATGAACTGCATTCCTAGCTTAGCCACTAACTATTTAGTCTTAAGTGTCCACTACATCATCCTGACAATAGGATGTGTCCCATGTAACATCCATACTACATATGGATTACTTGGTAGAAAGTCCATATGGATTACTTGGTAGAAAGTCATAGATGCTGTTCTGATTCTCTGATGCTCCCCTCCCAATTTTGTTATTGTATGGAAGGCATGGGCTAACTTCCATGTTGAAAGGCTATGCTCCCTTCTTGAATAAGCATACATTCCTATTGGCAACATGATTCTGCTACCCCCAAAAATGCATTTTCAGTGAGGAATATTGTGCCCAGGAAATGAAATTATGTTGGGAAACAAGGTATACACTCCTTGTGCATCAAGTTTTCTAATAAATTCATAGTGCTTTTAATGTTAGCAGTGGAACCTACAACAATGGCAGCAAGGAAAACATGGCATTAGCTTGAGACTGCTATTTCCCCAATTCTGTCATGCCACTATTAAATCAAAAAGAGTTTGTAATTTTGTCCATGTGTGCGTGCACACAAACACACACACCTATTTCAAAAGTACTTGCATATAAGATGTATAGCAACCTGTGTGGCTTGTCTGCTGGATTTGTGAACTTGGAAATCTAGGCTGGTAGTCGCACTTCTTCCAGGGTTATGAAGCTAAAGACAGAAAAACTTGCAGGTTCCAAGCAGTTGATTTTGCAGCTGCTGCACCTGCGACTTTCCCCCACCCTCTTCTGCAACTATTGCCTATAATGATATAGTGTGCCAACAGGATTCATGCCCTAAAATCCAATCCTTGTTTAGAAGGAAATCCTTCTTATCTCTAGAGAAATTGGAGAAAGCTCCTGAGTTTTGTTAAGATGGGAATCTGGATGTGCCAGGTGAGCAGTTAGCTACTGCCATCTTGTGGTTTTAATGACTTCTACACCTGAAATATGGAGTAGAGAAAATAATTGACTTTATTGTGTGGCAAATTGTCTCATAGTTCTGTGATGTCATACTCTGGAACTGGTTTAATAGAACTATACAACTAGATTCACAACCTTGACTGATAAGGGACCTGCCTGCTTTATCATCCTACAGATTAGGCAAGCAACGCAGCTTTCTGCCAATAAGACACATGACAATTTATCTACCCAAAATGTAACATTAGGGTTGATTTTGGAATAGGGCTCATTTGAGTCTGTATTTACGGAATAGTGCTGTTTGGCATCTCCAAATGCATCAAATTAACAATGAGCAAACTGATGTTACAGTAAAACTGGTTTTCAATTTGTGGGTCCCTAGGTGTTTTGGTCTACAACTCCCAGAAATCCCAGTCAGTTTACCAGCTGTTAGGATTTCTGGGAATTGAAGGCAAAACATCTGGGGACCCAAAGGTTGAGAACCACTAAGAAATAGGCCGCTCTGGTTGCTATTTTACACATGCTTTTAGATGGGTTTATGTTGTTTGTTGTACTACTTTTTGTGTGGAATTTTCTACTGTTAGCCATATTTTATGAAATCTTAGGATACAATCATAAGAGTAAAAACAACAAAAGAATATTCATTTCTCTAGCCTTGAGACCTACTAGGTATTACCAAAAATTAAATTGGGATGAAGGGTAAGGGTGTTAGTGGCTTTGTTTTTAAAGGTTTTTAGATGAGGTGGGAAGTAAAGCTTCATCAACTATTACAGAAAAAAAACCCCAAATTCTATCTCACAATATTGTCTTTTAAACTTTAGTCATGCTTATATTTCAGACTTCAGTGCCCATCATTTTCATATAGAAGAGTGGTGTATTCAAATAATAACATTCTGTATTGTATGTTATAGTATTGGATTAAAATAACAACATCTGATGACTTGATTAAGGAAAAGACAAAAATATATTTAATACAACAAAATATTCCAGGAAGAGAATGCCACAAAAAACATTGTGAAAGATCACTTAATCATTTCAAAACATCCTTTCTCTTGAGTGCCCTCATTTTTTTAAAAAAAAGGAAAAGGAAATTCTGAAGGAATATTTGCTGGTGCATTTCTCCCCTTAGAAATAGCAAAGAGAGTGCTGGGACATGTTTTCGTTGGCATCATCAATGCAAAGGTATGTGAAGAGATGAAGCACCCATTATCCTAGGAATGAATGCAAAACAAAGGTAAATATATATATTTGGCAAAAACAGAGGAAAACATAATCTCTAATAGATTTCAACTAATGTACAACATAACCAATAACTAATATATAATAACTAATAGAGGCCTGAATTTTGTACAGTATGTGCTACTTACAGTAATTCCATTTGTTTAATTAAGTAACTGATGGAAATGTCATTTGAGTGTTTCAATTCGTGGTTGAGGGGAGAAAGATTTGATTGTGGCAATAGTTGCAACTTGCGAGTAAGTAGCAATCACGCAAAATAGTTACCTAGATTTACTCATCAGCAACCGTTTCACAACTGCACCTACAAAATCTATTTTTTTAATGCAAAATCATGCAATTGTCTGTCTATCTGTCTTGAACGAGATTGACCAGAAAAAGTTCCTTCCAGTGTGGTTCCACTGCTCTGAAATTGTTAAATGTTTTTCACTTCTGGACTTGCTCAGGATGATATAAAATCTGCTGCTTTGTGTTTTCAACTGGTCATAGTATAAATATGCCCCTTCTATTTCTGAGATCTTTCCATTTTTCCCCTTCCCCTCTAAAAGGTTGGCATGTCTGCAACACAAGTTTTAAAAAGCTCAGTTTGCAGTGTAGGTAACAAACTCGCTGTAATCACTCTTATAATGCTAGGCATATCCTCCCTCTTGGACCATAAAATTGGACCGATCTGAATATTTCAAGTTACAGGAAGAAAAGCCTCCAGGGATTAAAACTGAATGGGGGAAAATCAATTTCCTTCTAGCAATTAAAGACAAAAAGTTGATTACAGACAACTATTTACCAGAAGGCTCCAGCCTAAAGAATACCATGTAGTTCTCCAGGGATTGTGGAAGTTCAGAGGGCTTCCCTCAGTCACACACCTGCCCTAACTTTGAACCCACCATCTTTGGTTTTGGGGATATAAGCAGGATGGTTGCATTAAGAGACTTGCAGAACGGTTCACTCAAAGATGGATTCTTTTGGTAAAATGCTAAACATACCTAAACAGGAGTGTCCCAAGTACAGGATAAAATATTGTAGTTCACACTGACTCCATGAGATACCCTCATGGCACCACTTCCTTATGCTTTGAGAGTAATCCTAATTACATGGGGTATAGAAAGGAGAGCTGATCTGCCTCTATGCCATTGCAAGGCCAGTAAATGCCAATTTCTCCCCCACGAGAGTGGCACAAATTCTGACTGCCTGTACTGTTTGTGATATGCATGTTACAGGTTGTCCCTTTGAGCCACAGTGATATTTTACAAACCACAATTCGTAGTTAGAATCAATGCTCAATCAGTTATTTCACCACCATTCTCTCCCCTTTGTATGATGGTGTGCCATTCCTCCTCCCCACTGCATAATCTTATTAAATTATATTCTCTTGCTGCTTCAGAAAGTCACTTCTGTGAATCTGAGTGCTTTCTGCAAATGTGGGAACTTCCTGACCGACTCCAGCAGCGAGGAGAAGCCAGAAGATGGAGCCAGAGACAATATTCCTCCAGGTTTAAATCCAGACTAATGGCAGAAAAGCAGTGCAAGACATAGCTTGCCAGGACCTTTCAACAAACAAACTGTGTGCAAATGCTACAGAGGCTGGTCCTACTCCTCTATGAATAGGGAGCATACCAGCTTCAGCTTGATTCGCATTTCCCCAGGCCTCAGTCCCAGAATTTGTTGCCATTGCCAGTACTCAGCCTTCAAAAGTAGAACACAGATAGATTAAGGGCAGAGTAGGATACTTCCAGATGCAGGGTGATTACATCAGTCCTGATATCTGCTGGGGTCCTCTGCAGGTCTCAGCACTGACATAATTATTTTGTGCCTGGCTATGACGACATAGCCAGATGTTTCTCTGATGCTCCCCATTCCTCATGAGACAATGAAAGATTGTGCAGGGGAGCTTCAGAAGCCATACAGTAAGTTGGGAGAGTTGCTTTGGGCACTGCAGAGGGAGAAAGGGAATACAGACCTCTGAAGTGTCCAAATGCAGACATAACAGAAATTATGTGTATGAATATCTCTAATAGGATGTTAGCATGTATGTTTGAATGGTTATCACTGCTGTTCAGTTATCTCTAAGGTACCTTCTAAGTTACCCTCTAAGGCAAGCCTGAGCAAAATTTCTAACTTGGGGGCTGCATGGCGGGCTGGAGTGGGGTGGGCGGACTGGGAAGGGATTCTCCCCAAGCCCCCTCCTTCCCTTTCCTTCCCTTCCTCTTCTCTTTTGGAGGCAGAAAGTGAAGGAAAGACTGAAAACATTTGGATCCCAAAAGTGTTAGCCTTTGTCAGGATGAGATGGTGGATGAGAGAGAAAAGGTGCATTCATTAGACCCCATATTGCCTACTTTGATATATAGTCCTAGAATCCTAGAACTGGAAGAGACCCCCAAGGACCATCTGGTCCAATCCCTTGCCATGCAAGAAAGCACAATCAAAGCATTCCCAATGGACAGCCTCTATGGAAAAGCTTCCAGAGAAGGAGACTCCACCACACTACAAGATAGCCTATGCCACTCTCTAACAGCTCTTACTCTCAGGAAGTTCTTCCTAATCTTTACAGTCAAATCTCTTTCCCTGTCATTTGAACCCATTGCTCCCTTATACCCTGGTCTCTAGGGCAGCAGAAAGTCAGTTTTCCATCTCCTCCTCAATGGGACATTCTTTTATATCTTGAAACATGGTGCTCATGTTCCTTCTCTACCTTCTCTTCTACCAGATAAATATCCTTCAGGAAAAAGAGAAGGAAGGAAAAAGAGAAGGGAGGGAGGGAGGAAGAGAAGGATGGAAGGGAATGGGGGGAAGTGAGGGAGGAAGGAGAGAAGGAAGGAAAGACAAAAGGAACGGAAGGAAGGAGAAAGAGAGGGAGGAACGAGGGAAGAAAGAAACGAGTGGAAGGAAAGGAAGGAAGGAGGGAGGAAGGAAGGAAAGAAAGAAGGAAGGAAGGATAGGATGGTGAGAGATAAGAGGGCCTGAGAAAAGAGCCCAAGGGGCTACATCCGGTCCTCAGGCCTGGGTTTGCCCATACCTGCTCTAAGGCATCTAAGGTAAGCTCTACTTGATGAAGCAGGAATTGTTTTGGAAAGGGAGTACTGTTTGTGGCATTCACTTCAGAGTGCAGAGGGAAACAGTCCTCCAGGAAGCCTGAATGTTCAGCTATGTATCTCCATATTATCTCAGTATGACAAAAGTGAAGCAGTCATCTCAGCCAATTGATTCCAGATACCATTTGGGACAGCATAGTGAGATGTTGTGATAAATACATACTTGCATTTGCATATAAATATTTAAAAACTGAACAACAGTTACCAAAATGGTGGCACAATATAGAACAGGCCACAGAATGGACTGAAAAGCATTTTGTTGTGGGCAGCAATCACATCTAATTTGCTCTCAGTGACCAACAGCCGCTGTAGGGGAGGAACATTTTCAGACTTGCATTACAAGGGAAAGGATTAAACTCTGCCTCCAGCTATGCTGAGTTTCTAATTCAGATGGATAGGTAGATAGTGTTGACTGCTACTTAAAATACACTAACACTACACACTGAATGCAAGTTGCAGATTGGCTCTGAAGGGCAGAATCATTTAAAGCCATGGGATCCAGCTCGCCAGGAGACTGAGCAGCAGACATCCACCACTAAAATGAATGAGAATTCTGCCACAGCATGAAATACAAGAAATGCATAACGGGGAGGAGCCCCCAAATATCAAAAATGCCCTTTCTCCCTTCTGCCTCTTTAACCACAACAAAAAAAGAACTTTGTTTTACCTGTTGTTCATCTGTCTTCCACATCGAAGGCTGGCATGAGATAGTCTTTTGGAACAATCCCCACCCTGCTGTTCAGCAAGCCAACCCACCAGCCATACATGTTGTATACCTGGAAGTCAAACAAGGTCAACATTGAGTTAAAGGACTGAGGAAGTCAAAGGGCTGTGATTTGCAGCTGGTTAAAACTTGGCCTCTGGCATAAAACAAGATGTTGTTGTTGTTGTTGTTTGCTGCAGACAATCCACCTGGTCTCTTTAAGAGGAGTAGCAATATTTGAAGTATTTTTATGTACTCTCAGGTTATTAGCACACCATAGATTTTTAAAACTGTATTACTACCATCTGAAATATGAGGACAATAATAATGCACCAATTTTATAGTGTTGCTATAAAGATTATTGAGACAATACGCGTGAAGTACTATATAAATGCTAAGCATAGTGGATTATTAGTCACTATTAACTACTCACTGGCTGTTGGGTTGTTGTGAATTGGCTACTTTACACATACAGCCCCTCCTTATGTTCTCTGTATGCAAGCAGGATGAAGCAAAATAGATGCCTATCCCTTAATGCAGTGCACACTTGAGCACCAAGTAATCCTCCATGTATTATTGGGCTGATCTTGGCCAATGCTGAGTGATGATGAAATAATTAATAATAATAATAATAATAATAATAATAATAATAATAATAAAAAATACTTTATTTATAGAATGCCCTATCTCCCCAAAGGAACTCTGGGCAGTTTCCAACATATATGGCAAACATTCAATGCCAAAAACATTCGGACAAATTACATCAGGACAAATCACATTAAGTAATATAAAAAGCAACCTAACTCTAAACTTAATAACAGATAAAATTACAGACGGTAAGAACTTAAATAACCTATGCAAGTAACAATATAAAATTGACATTAAATAAAAACAATGAAGAACAAAGGCTAAAACTATTATAAAAAGGTGACATGTTATACAACTACCAGTGGGCTGAAGTCAATTCTAGTCATTAGACAAGGTTTAATATGTCTAGGCAAGAGTAAAGTCAGGTACATTGAAGCTGCAGTTAGTACATCTAAAGGGCTGCCATCCACCCTGTAGGCAACGACAACTGCAGGCCATGAGGCCTCTTCCTTTCTATGTGAGAGGGTATTACTAAGAGCAGAGCAATGCAAATATCATTCCATCTAGAATAGGAAGGAGATTTGAAGAGGATGGAGAAAGGTCTTGTCCACTTGTCCTAGTACTGTTTTAGGTGGAGGGTTGGAAGAGGGCATTGCATTTTGGTGTCTTATAAATTTTATTTCCTATAATCACATGCTTTGGGTGTTGGTCTTACTGCTTTCCCAGAGAGTTTCCTAGCTCAGGTGAGCTAGCAGGCTGCATGCTTTTCTTGCTGCACAGAGTTCTGCTGCAACCTGGCCTTCCAAATGAAAGTTCCTGGGAGGAACTGGGTTGTTTTAGTCCAGTTTCTCCCAGGTTTTTGGCACCATCCCCAACTCAAACCCTGGGCTTCCCCTCTCTGGGTGGGTAGATGCCGAAGAGTTCCCTTGATGCATCAGGAGGTGGTGGGCAAAGAGAAATTTCTTCTCCCTCACCTCCTGATGCATCATTTTCATGTACCAGGTGAATTTTATGGCAGTGGTTCTCAACCTGGGGTCCCCAGATGTTTTTGGCCTTCAGCTCTCAGAAATCCTGACAGCTGGTAAATTGGCAGGGATTTCTGGGAGTTGTAGGCAAAAAACATCTGGGGACCCCAGGTTGAGAACCACTGCTCTATGGAGTTTTTGATGAGAAAATGGGGGGAGGGCAGGGGGCTGGTGGGTAGAGGGTGGATGCCATCCCCCTCCTTTGGACTCCAGGAGCCTGGAGAACCAGGATGACTGTGGGGTTGAGCCCTTAACTGTGGAAGGAGTCCTGGGAGTCAATCCCCACAGGACGGGCACCTTAATAGATCCAGACCTTTCAGTAAGGTCCGGATCTGCTGAGGTGTCAAATTAATCCCAGATATCCCAGTTTTCTCCAAATTAATTCAGGTAAACCTGTTTCCCACCATGGCTTATCGGGCAGTGTAGAAGGACCCAGAAAGAACAAAAGAAAGAGGAAGAAATATGGTGGCCCATGAGCTTCCTTACTCTGTACATAACTTGTGCTAACTTATATTGGTTAGATATAACTCTCACCATCATTAAATGACTCCTCCAATCCTTGTCCCTGTTGTGCCCCCCCCCCCCCTTTCTACCACTTCTAGACTGGTGTTTGGGAATGTGTGCCCATGTGGAGGATACTAGTTTTGGGAAGTGTTGGCTGAAAGCTGCAACCAAACTGAGCAAGCATCATGACAGAACAAGCAACTGCTTCCTGGCACTTTGCTATGAGGGCCACTAATTATTTCACTCCTGAGGCAGCAAAAAGTGTTTTTTTTTTTAAAGCTGCAGAGTATGCAAATACTTCTATTCCCACAGATTTTAGATTTTTTAAAACAGGATGAAGAAGAGAGAACTACTACTAAAAAGAGATTTCTTCCAATAAGTCAATTAACAGTTCAGGAGTGTATGAGCTAATTTCACAGCAGTCAGTAAAGCATTTGCAGGATTAGTTATAGGTCAAAAATTCCTTCATAAATACAAATTCCTGCACTTGGAGAGTAGCTGCTAGGAGGAAAGAAGGCATTACCTTTCCAATTAGGAAGTCTGGCTCTCCAGAGGAAATTTTCCAGAGGGAAATCTACCAGAGGGATGGTAAAAACTTAGCTATGGGACCAAGCTTTTAGGACAGTGCAATAAACAGTGATAGGAAACCTTACCAGACAGATTAGATGCAGATGATCAAGACGGTTTTAAACAGTGTATTTTAATGTGGAGATAAGTGTTTTTAATGTTTATGTATGCATATAATGAATTCATGTCCTGGCATTGAATGTTTGCCGTTTGTATGTTTTGCTCTGTCCTGAGTCCCCTTAGGAGTGAGAAGGACAGAATATAAATGTTTTAAACAATAAATAAATAAATAAATAAATAAATAAGTGTCATCCCAGCCCACCTTAAGAGCTAGCAGCCAAATCAGGCAAATACGTTCTGTTCAGCTTTCAATTGGGGCAAAACATTTCCACTCCCTCCTTCACAATCCAAAGCAGAATCAAACATTCTCATCATTGCCTCATTCACTGGTGGGAGATGGGAGGAAATGTCATTCTCCTGTAGTGCTCCGATTGGAAGTGGAACAGACTCCTTAGCCTGATGTGGCTGCTGGCTCCTAAGGTGGGTAAGGGCTACAGTGGTTCTCAACCTAGGGTCCCCAGAAGTTTTTGGCCTACAACTCCCAGAAATCCCAGCCAGTTTATCAACTGTTAGGATTTCTGGGAGTTGAAGGCCAAAAACATCTGGCGACCCCAGGTTGAGAACCACTGGGTTAGGAGATAATAGTTAGATGCATTCCTAACTAAGAAGCTCAGGTCAACTACCAGCAAAATTAGTAGCAGAATCCATTAAGCTATAAGGTTTTTACAGACAGGTTTGAGTCTCAGCAACACTTACCATAAAGACTCTGGGTTGTTTTTCATGCACGTATGTTCACCACTTGTTGACTACAGCATGAAATCCATGGCGAATGAGCCATAACAGATTAATCACCATAGTCTGAGAGACACCTTTCATGTCACCTGATGGCATTTAGTGCACAATGCTTTTCAGTCAAGTCAACCCAAACATCCTGCTGCAGTCATCAAGCATAAAGCAATCAAGCGAGGTACGTCATGGCATGCATGAACCGAGCCCAAGGCTCAGGGAAAAGGACTGAGAAAAGGAGCAACTATGCCAGACGGGTAGCTGCAGAAGGCAAGATGGAGGCACAAACCACCTTTGCGGCATTGCTTTGGCCTGTGCACAGTGAGGTATTTTAAAACAATTTCAGGTTTGATGGATTGCTGGGAAACTGGCGATTGCTCATCATCAAAAAAAAGGAGGAAAGGAATGCAAATGAGCCCAAGCCGAGAACCATCGGCGCCGGGCGCTTTATTTCCCTGCGCTGTGCCAAAAAGAATTAAAACAACATTAAACTCCCCGCAATAATGTTTAAGCTCTCGTTTCCAAGTGCCAAATTGCACCGCTCTGGATCATACAGATGTTCGTTAATTATGCTAATTTTTATTAAACTATTAAAATGGAGGAAGTTGTATTGGCAGAGCCCCGGCCCGAGGTGAACTCTGCCTTGCGTCTGGAGGTGCTAATTTGCCAGCTTCCCTCCATAAGCTGCTGATGCTGGAGATTTGTGCTTTGCTTAGTGAGGAGGATTTGGGGACGAAGCAGGAGGGGGTGACAGAGAGGATGTCTTCTGCAGCAAAGACTGTTAAGGCAAACTCCAGTGAGCACGAGATCTCTTCCACCTGTATGCATCCAACAATTCGACAATACTGACTAATAGGGTAGACTAGGTTAAGTTCATAGCGTCGGGGTGGGTTGGTTATGGGTTAAATCCCCCCCCCCCAATTTTCGGGTTTTCAAAAAACCTGTTTTACTCATGAATTTTAACTGGTTAACCAAATCTCATGTTAAGTCTATGAGAAGCAAAAAAATAGAGTTTTTCCAGAACTGCAAGCACAACATTTTGATAATTTACTCACACTATCATTACCAAGCTTCCCACCAATTTACATTGCAATAGCAGCAATAGCCGACGAAGTGGAAGTGGCTAAGTTTTGACGTCACGGATGTTCAATCAACATTTGGATGCGAAGAGGACATAATCCATCAAAACTGATATCAGAATTCGATGCCCCAGGTTAAACTCCATTAAAAACTTACGTTTAAATACAATTTATGATCTAACAACTTTGTGCTTGTTTTTTTTAAAAAATATACTTGAATTTCTCCTAAATTATCAAGTATTTTTTCATAACTGGGTACCAGATTAAAGTTTCTAAAATTGTAATGAAATGTGTTGCTCACAGGTCTTGATTTTTAGATTTAAAGTAAAAATACATGTATGAGAGATCTTGTATCTCTGTCAAAGAAACCACGGAACAGGAGCAAAGACAAGAAGCAGTGTCATTGTTAGACCGTTACTTTATATGAACAAGACTGTTTCTGATGACCAGTGAAAGCTCAATTA